ACAAGTGCATCGCTAGTAGTAACAATGTGCTTGGCACAGAGATCTTGCATGTGGCTTGGATTCTGCAAATCCGATCCGTTGCTGCTCTCAGGTTCCCGCCTCAGGGCCACAGCATGATAGCAGCCCCGGAGCACAATGCAACCCTCATATGTTTGTTTCCACAAAGCCTTTTAGGATTCCAAAGTAGAGCTGTGAGCCATTGGTCCTGGCAAGTTTTTAAGCAAAGTGTGCCAGCTTGAGACCAGGCTTGGACAGAGCAACATGTATCGAATTGTAGTACTTTGTGTGTGTGTGTTTTTTTTGCAGCTCAGCAACTCTGGTCAAGGCTCCTGCAGCACGGTGAGGCTTCCTCATGGCGTGCTTCACTGGCTTGGCTGGGACATGGACAGCCAAGCAGGCAGGCTGCCAGTGTACAGAGATGGTTGAGGTGATTTGAATTTGGCTGAGATACACATATATATATATATTAATATACTACTCCGAACACCGTCCCATTCGACAGTTGGTCTACGGGTCTAAGAATGTCCAGGACACAAATTAAAGCCTTTCAAACAGCGATTGTTGGGGAGATCGGAGTTCCTTTTTTTTTTGTATATAATCGCTCTCTGCGATTTGACGTCATTTGACAATGCCGGAAATTCCTGTTAAGACGAACTTATCGCTCCACTTTGAGGGGAGCATCCCGAGGAACGAACATTGGTTCAAAGCTGAAAAAATCAGCACGTCCTTGGACAAGCAGCACTAGCATTGAGCAAGCGCAGCCAAAGATGCCAAAGTTAAGAGCGCAGACCCAGCAAATTCTTTGACCAAGTGAGAAACCATTTCAGATAGAAGGGCCTCGTACATAACCTCTTGTATGCATGTGCTGCACGCCCAAAGCAACAGCCCTTTGTAGTTCCTCTTCTCTACCTTCCCCAATTGACTTTCTGCATTTCGCCTGGTGACCTGGTGCCACTTGAACATTTGCAAGTCTCACCAATTTCCCCAAATGCATACGTGTGATTGTGTGCCAGGATTCGCCATCAAGTTCGTTATCGTTGCCCTTTGGGGCATCGGTGAGTGGCTTTGATGCCACATGTGCTGTGGCACTTGTTTTGATGGTTTTATCGGCGGTTCGACAGAGCCGCGCTCGAAGAGCTCTGGGGCGAACTTTTTGTACTGCCCGTCGGGTCATTTCGATGACGCCACGTTTTTTGGGGCATTTGGGGACTTTGGTGCAGCGAACGCCTAGAATGCTGCGACCACAGTGCCACAGAGCAGCTTCCGTGCGGCGCGCTTGGTCTCGGGAAAGCTCGGGGTCTCTCGAATTTGAGGTGGCTCTGGTTCCATTTTCAAGATCAGCTTCTGAACCTAGGGTCGAAAGTGAACCGCCAACTCTTCCTATTCAGCGCCGTGCAGTCACTTGCTCCGCGAAGCTATTAGCATCAGTGAAACTCTCAAACTGTCCACCTCCTGACGAGGAAGAGCAACACGATTTGCCTTCATGCACAGACCCTGAAAGGGTGTCTTCGAGGAAACAGATTGGATCTCCGCTGTCACCTTTGTCGACCAATCTCACAAAGCAGTTTTCCTCGATTCCATCTTTGGTTGAGCTTGGTGAGATGTTTGACCACTTGGTGCAAAAGTGGGGCATGGCAGATGTGCGTTTCATGCGGGAGGTGGTGCTTGAACTGAATGGTACATGCAACGTTCAATTTCAAAGTGGTGACGGTGACCGACTCCATTCGATGCTGACCCAGAATGGCGCTGTCGACATTGATCGCAGAAGGTTCCAGGAAGGAGTGCATGCACTTCTGTGTGCTGCTCAGGCAGCGAAAAGCCAGGATCTTTCTTTGACCCAACTCCGATTGGTTCTGGCAACGGCTTTCGAGCGCTTTGACATGGATGGCAATGGAGAGATTTCCAGCGACGAGTTTCTGGCTGCCTTGCAAAGGTGTGACATCCGCTTGCCAGAACCTGAAGCTTTGGTGCTTCTTCGCTTTTTCGGAAAAGAAACAGTGGTGAAGGAGAACTTAGCTCCCAGCCTAGGTGAACAATGCGAGGCGGCTTTGACTGGAGCGCAGGAACGCATGGCTCACACCACTGACTGGAGTGGGGTGGTCGAAATGGTTGAGTGGGTGGCTTCCTGGGGGTCTGACAGTCCAGTGAGCCAGGCGAAGCTTCTGGCCTTTTTCAGAGACTGGGACTCCAAAGACGGAAGAGAAGACGTAGTTAGTAGCACGGTGAGGCGCAGGAACGAGCTTGTTTGACATCAAAGCTTGTTTTGCTCCCAGGCAAAAGCAATGAACCAGCAAGTGACAGCAGTCCTCAGTCCTTCGCACAACCCAACCGCTATCCCAAATGAACCATTTGGCCGAATCTCGGGCAAGGGACGCGGGAAAGAAACTCTCAAGTTTTGAAAGGATTCCAGCAAGAACCACATGCGAGCCGAACGAACAAACCACGTCGATTTGGGAAGGAGAGCAGGAGAATCCAACGATTTCCTATATAATTCAGTTGAAGGACATTCTTCATCAGCATGAATAGTCAAGGGTTGTGGAAAGCCCCGGTTTGAGTGTGCCATGTTGTTGCAGGCTCTGCCACTTTTCGTCACACACACACACACTCTCTCTCTCTCTCAAATTGAACATATTGAACATCTTCATCTTTTGGACTAGTATATGATAGCTACTAGTAGCAAAGGGCATCGCTACTAGGAGCAAGGACGCTACTAGGGGCTCCTGGCCATACTACTAGGAGCAAGGACGCTACTAGGGGCTCCTGGCTGTACTACTAGGAGCAAGGATGCTACTAGGGGCTCCTGGCCGTACTACTAGGCGCAAGGAGCTACTAGGGGCTCCTGGCCGTACTACTAGGAGCAAGGGCGCTACTAGGGGGCTCCTGGCCGTACTACTAGGAGCAAGGATGCTACTAGGGCTCCTGGCCGTACTACTAGGAGCAAGGAGCTGGCTCCTGGCCATACTACTAGGAGCAAGGACGCTACTAGGGCCTGCTGGCCACAATACTAGGAGCAAGGACGCTACTAGGGGCTCCTGGCCATACTACTAGGAGCAAGGACGCTACTAGGGGCTCCTGGC